ATACCCTACACATTTATGGGACATTCCCCCCAAAAAGGAAGGACATCCAGGGTCCAGGTAAGGACCAGGGACCCAAGTCTGGGGATGGAATAGATTCAAGGGCTTCGGAGGTCAGTGCTAGCCCTAAGCCCGGAAACCCGTGAACCACAAAATCTAAACCTAAGACTGAAAATCCTAAGCCCTAAGACGTAGCCACAGCAGGGCTCAGCAGCGCCATATCAGTGAGGTAAACTGCAGTGGTTTTTGCTTGGGCACGTGCGCTTTGTTAGGGTTCATCGCACGTACTTCAAAAGCTGATGAGCCTGGCTGCTGTGTGGAGGCTAGTTGGAGATGTAATTTTGGCAAAGATGCATGAAGCTAAGGGTCATCTGAGCTATAGTCTAAACTCCTAGTATCGCCCTTAATAACCCCAATAATACTCCCCCATACTATCCCCTATATAACCCCATTGAAGGACGATAGACTATAGCTCATCTTACGCTACAAGCCAGTCCTTAAAAACTTGTACCCCGGGCTCCAGAAACAGGAGCCCCTGCGCATACCCGTCCCATATGCTCGCATCTGGCTACCCCAGGATGGGACGTGTAAGTTTTGGAGCTCTGAAATCCTAAGCCCTATGTCCCTGCAAACGACATGCATGTATTCCTATACAACCACCCCTACACATCCCTTTATCACCGCTGGATCCCAGGAAATGTTTGGGCTCTTTTGCACGGCAGCTCGCGCGCGCCGCAAGCTTCTGAGGGGGTCAAACATGGATGCCCCGCATGGCATCCTGGAACACCTGATCAGGTACCCCTGAACCCTGAACTCTAAACCCTAAACCAAACATCCCTAAACTCTGAACCCTAAACCAAAAAACCCTAAAGTCTAAACCCTAACCCAAAAACCCTAAACTCTGAACCCTAAACCTTAAACCAGTTTAGGGCTAGGGGTTTAGGGTTGATAGGATTCTGGGGGTCTCACAGTTGCCCGGGAGCTCTGAAAGTTTCATCGCGTCCGTATGATTATCGACAACAGAAATGGGTTATACAGGGGGTTATAGGGTTTAAGGGTTTAGGGTTTAGGGTTTAGGCTTCAGGGTCTAGGGCTTCGGGCTCAGGTTTTTTTGGGGTTAAATGTATTTTGAGGGAACTGTAGGAGGGATGTACAGGGACATAACGACTAGCTTGGGCTAAAACCTAGGTTCTAACCAACAGTCGAGAATCAAATGGCAAATGAAATGGAACCTGGTCATTGGATTCTATGGAGCTGAGGGTTCATGGTTTGAGCTTTGGGTTTAGGATTTAGACTTACGGGCGTAGGGTTGAGGTTCAAGGGCTTGGGGCTTCGGGCATGGAGTTCAATATGTAGAGCTTAATGTTTGGGCTCCAAGTTTAGTACTACCTGGACCCCACAAGTAGGTAGAACGGTAGCACAAAACAATTAAACATGGTTCAAGAACCAGAGCCATCAATCTACATATTGTTGGGGTTCAGGTATAGTCTCCCTCAAGTAAATAGAATGGCTTTGGGTATATTATAATAAGATCCCCATATACCCCATATTCTATCTACTTGACGGGAGCTATAAAGGAAACTTAAGCTGCAGGCCGCAGGAGCAGGAGCAGAGTCTCTGTGTGATCTGATGCCAAGCTCAGCGATGTGGGCCCACTTTGAGAAACATCTCCCGTAAGATTCCAAAGTGGAATGTCATAATTATGCTTTCTTAGTTTTTACCTGAACCCCAAAAGGTATGTAGAATGATGGCCGTTTTGGCTATATTAGGGTTTGGGGCTATCATTTTACCTACCTTTGGGGTCCAGGTAGGGGCCATAGTATAATGGGGATCCAAAAAGGGATCGCAGTTTGCACAGCCTGCCCCACTGTTGGGCCAAGCCCCCTTACAACACCGTTTGGGTTACAGGTGGAGTTCAGGGTTGCTGTTAAGGAGCTTAATCTAAGTTACTATGTCGGGATATATTGGGGTATATAGGGATATATAGGGATAGATAGGGTTCTGAGCTAAGGAACTTCATCTAAGCTACAATATAGCGGAAGCCATGGTAAGTGCTATATACATATATACACACATAACCATTTGTTTAAGTTTCAAAACAGCAACCCAGGAGTTTAGGGTTGGGAGGCTAGCAGCTAGGGGTCTAACTAGGGCGAACAACAGCAGAGAAGTTTCCCATGGGCATGGGGGCAGTTTGTATAAGGGGTAGGAAAGGCCCATGGAAACTTATAAAAGGGGTATGTGAGTCTTTTGCAAAGTCCCTACGTGGCAACTCGTTTCCTGTAATTGCCTTAGATCTACTTGGAGGGTCAGGGGGACTTAGTAAGTGGCTTAATAAGAGGGATAACTAGGGTTACTATATGGGTTATAGGGGATATTAACCTACTTACTAAGTCCCACTGACCCTCCAAGTAAGTCTAGCTTGCAACCACAAGGCACCTGGGCGGTCTGTGTAGTCTCCTGAGTGCTGCTAGAGTCGAAGAGATACACCTGTGGATTGCAGAGTTTGAAGCCCCCGTAGGGATTCTGGTGGCTTAAGTTGCGTGAAGGCTTAGTGATTTAAGGCTTCTTTAGGGCTTTGGCTCAAGGCTTAAGCTCTTTCATCCCAACATCAAGATACCCTTCTGTACTCCCTATCGGATATATACAACCTTGCCAATATTCCAAGCACGCTCTTGCAGATTGGACCCAAGAAAAGCATAGTAGGATTAACATTGCTCATGATTATGATTATGAGCGCAAAAGATTAATGATAGTAATCGTTGATTAGTAGAAGTTACTAACAATACTCGTACTATCACGCTCTCAGGAATCCCCTTCATCTCTACGCGCGCTGCTGCAGTCCGGCGTCACGGTAGCAACTCCAGACATCGCGTGGCACCCCTCTTGAGGATTGGTTTAAGGTTTAGGGTTTCGGGTTCAAGGATTCCCTAAACCCTAAACCAATGTCAGCAAGCTCCCACCTCAAACTCCCAAAGCCTCCACTCCAAAATCTACACCCGAAACCCAAAATCCTAAACCCCCACGCCTAAGCGCGCAGTCCTAAACTTTGCACCACAACCCTCATCATGAGATACTATCCCACCCGCTTCTTGAAATGAGGACTGGGACTTTTTAAGGTTTATTTAAGGCTTCTTTTAGCCTTGCTTGGTATTCGAGCTATGGTCTAAACTCCTAGTATCCTTTAGACTATAGCTCCTATAGCCTCTAAATCCTAATCCCTAAAGAGTAATTTCCGTTTTCTTGTCCATGGTTACGTATAACTCCCCGTAAATATTAAAGAGTTAAATTATATAGCTCCTATTTGGTCTCAGGTCGGACCTGGTAGCTCGAGCGCCCTTGGGGCATGTAGTTATAAATCAGCGCGGCTTCCTCCTCCCGCTGGGACGGGAAGCTGTGCGAGTTTTTCCGCGCCTTCGGGACTGCTACTACTCTGATGCACCATGCAGGATATCAGAAGCTGTGACAAATGATCATCGTTAAGACTGCTGTGGAAACAGGGAATCATGCACCCACCCTAGGCACGCAATAGCCTAGAAAATTACTGCATATTTGTGTATCCTAAAGGATACAAAATTTCCTCTATCCACTGTAGGTCAATATACATGCCACTGCTCTCTCTAAACCCCAGCACCCAAACCCCCATAACCCTAAAGCCTAAAACCTGAACCCTAAACCCTATAAACCCTACACCCTAAATAGTAGTTTCCATCTTATTTTCCATTATCCCAATATACTCCCTATACATATACCCTATAATCCCTATATAACCCCTATAATCCTTGTAGTTTCCATTTTATTTTCCATTATCCCAAAATAACCCCGATAAAACCCCTAATACAATATACCATAAATTATATTGTGCCTCCGAGATGAAGAAGTTCGCAAAGTACTGCATAGCCTTGCAGGGTGTAGGGTTTTAGGGTTTGGGGTTTAGGGTTTTAAGGTTTAGGGAGTTGGGGGTTAGGAAGTTAGGGTTTCAGGGTTTAGAAAAAGCCTCAAACAAGATATTTCCAGATACCTTTGGGGGGGGGGGTGCAGGTAGGGCAAGAATTCGGAGAAACCTGATGTAGATAACTATTTTAGCTACAAGTTGAACAAGGGTTCGTATATGGCAGCTGGAAAAAAGCCTGCATGATCTCTATTTGGGCCCACCTAATCCCTTATCATCTCCATAAACCCTAAACCCTTATAATCCCCATACATCCCTAAAGGTCCTCAGGGCTACCCGGTTTGGAGACATCTCCAAGCCCAGGCTGCCCCCACCGCATCGCTGACTGGCTGTAAATACGGAGTGGTGGAGTGAATCCCCTGTAGCTCCTACATATGGGTGCTTCTCAAAAGTAGGGTCCTTTTTTGGGTACCCTAAATATTAGGTGCCGTATTATAATAGGGATCCACAAAGGGACCATAATTTTGACAACCACCCATATACAAGCCCCAAGGGTACAGGGTTTAGGGTTTAGGATTTCACGAGCTTCGATTGTTCGTGTCCATCTCTTCCCTCCCTGACCCGAAGCCCTGGCCCTAGACCCTATGCACACCCACCCAGCTACCCTGTTAAAGGGACCCAAGAGCATCCTTCGTTCCCTACAATATGAGCTAAATGAGCTAAAGTCTCAACTCCTAGTATCCCTCTTTAATACTTCCTCTTAATACCCCCCTATAATTCTCCTTGAAATAAGCCATATACATAACACCCTTCAAGGAGTTTCAGTATAGCTCCAATGTAACAGCCAGCAAGATCGCAAACCTCTATGGCATGCGCACTGTGGTTGATTCCACCTTCATCCGCCCCCCACTCCTGGGCAGTCTAGGGCTTAGGGCATCATGGGAGATCACCTATATATCCTGTGACCCCAATTACAGTGGTTGCATACAACTTTATGGATTCTACCGGGTTGTTAATGCGCAATTCCGGCTAAGCTGTGGGTGGCTGGGGTTACAGGAAGCATCCTTAAAAACCAGTTCCTGAATAGGAGGCCACAACAAAGGCCCAATATACCACAATCCTTTTATAGGAACCCCAGAAAGGAACCCCCAACTCTTGGAACCCCTGTAGGGTTTCCCCATATACCCCCGAAAGAATGCATATCGCAGAGATAGAGAGACCACTAAGTCTGCTGAACCCTCTTGGAACCTCACAAACTCAACAGCATCCCAGTCAACGTCTGAAAGAAGCTCCTCCTTCTCTACTTGTATTGTAACATGTTTGCCAAACTATTCCTCAAACTCGAAGTAATCCAGGTTTTCATTGAATTCTCCATGTTCTTTTCCATTTGATTCTCCAGTATCGGGGGAAAATCCCTTCGCCCTAAACCCTAAATAATACATAGTAGTTTACATTTTCTTCTCCAGTATCCCCAATATTCATATACCTTTACATATTCTACGACAATTACCAAGGCTCGAAAATCGGCCGTTCCGGATGCCACTGGACGCCATAAATTGGATGCACTCTGCCTTCGATCGTTGAGACGAACTCGCGTCCTCTTCCTTCACTGCTTCTGCTTCTGCTATGGGGTAGATTGAAAGGGCTTTCGAATGTTGGGAGGAACAGCAAGTGGTTTGAGCGCAGCCCAGGTATTAACACATCCCCAGAATCAATAAGTTGCTTCAGCATGTGTTGCGGACAACTAGCAGCCCTAGCAGCTATATCCTGACTCATACTCAGAAGCACGAAGACTTGAACTCTAAACACCAAACTCCAAGCCCTAAACCCTCAGCCCCACAGCCTGTAAGTCCCAAACTCTCAACCTGGGCGAGCTACTGTCTTGGTTTGTGGAGAGCACAGAGAACAGGCTGGCCAGATGCTCGTTGCTCGCGAAACTGTCCGGGGCCACGCCGTCATGATGCAAGTTGCTTGTCAGGTTTTCCTGAGACAGAAAACTTGATGAATCACCCCAAGCCCGCAACTCTAAAACCCTTCAAGCTAACACTGAACCATTAGATATTTCCTATATAACCCCCATTATCCCTATAGTTTCCATTTTCTTTTCCATTATCCCAATATAACCCTACTCCTAAGCTGTGAAAGGAGCTATGGATCCGATGCCTTCTATCTTTATTTGGGAATCTCCATGTTTTTGCTGGGCATTCCTTACCCCCTACTACTATAGGGGTTATATAGGGTATATTTTGGGGCTATATAGGGATAATGGAAAAGAAAATGGACACTACTGTAGCATATAAGGGCTATATAGGGGCGACACCATGATTTACAAGGCCTGGCCTGAAGCTGGTTGTTCAGACCTTGCTGTTTCAGAGATGTCGACATACCAAGGTCTGTAATACACTGAGCCATTAGACATTTCCTATATAACCCCTATTATCCCTATAGTTTCCATTTTCTTTTCCATTATCCCAATATAACCCTACTACCCTATGAGACAGCACAACTCATCATACCTGAAAAACCCAAAAACTGCACGCTCTGCAAGTGGCGGTTGTCAGCCATCGCAATATGTTGGACGGAGCCTGCGCCCCAAGCAGCCGAGAGGTCTTCGCGGCGTGCGTCAGCATCAGAGGCAGTGACATGTTCTCTGAGTCAAACGCGTTGGTCTGCAAGACGGATGTGCCTGCAAGAGCTGCGGCCTAGGACTTTACACTTTTTGGGGGCTGTTTGTAGAAGTCTCCAGAAAGGAGGTGCTCGACTTAGGGTACAGAAGAAGTTCTGATTGTAGCAAGTTTAATAACTCCACGCTCACGGCTGTTACCTTATTATGGCAACCCCAGTACATTATAATCCTTATTCTGGGGGCCCCCCCAAAAATACCCCTAATTCACTTCTTGCGCCTGCCGCCACCACCGAGAGCGTCTGCACTCCCATGCATGTGCCCCACAGCGGAACCCAATCCCCGGCAGAGCTGGCCTGTATCCTGGGTTGCTGCTAAGGAACTTAAGTTAAGGTCCCTAGGGGTTATATGGGGGTTATATAGGTGTTATATAAGGATAATGGAAAACAAAATGGAAATCACTATTTAGGGTCCATGTAACTGGGTTGCTGTTAAGGAACTTAAAGCAGGTTACCAGAATGTGGGTACATAGTGATTAATAGGGTTTCCCCAATATAGTAACTTAAACTTACTTGCTTAACAACAGCGCAGTATCGTCATGTTGAAAAGAAAGGAAGCAGCCCGAAGGTACCTAGTGCTGCTGCAGAGACCGGCTCAGAAGCCAAATCAGAATGCGCTCTTCATGACTTCTACGTAGACGCCGGGTCCAAGTCCGCTATACTACCACAACTTCTTGAGGGTTTAGGGTTGGTGGTTTAGGACTTTGGGTGCTCGTAGCGTCATGCAAGTTATCCCTCCTATCTTGTGCACGTCTCAGGTGCTGCGCAGCGAGCGGTGAAGTCTCCGGGTGCTTTATCGGAACACCACCACCTCAGGCGTTTCCCAGAATCGGGTAGCCTCCCGTTGGGGATATAAAGGCGTTGTAATGAGATTTCTTGGGGATTATGACGAGCGTGCGAGAGCTGCTCTTTGACAACTCCCGCCAGTGAAGAGCACAGCATTGACGGAGGCGAAAGCCTTCCCAGCATTGAACCATGGCTTCCGTTTCATGCGTTTAGGGCTTGCGACTTAGACTTGAAAAGGGTTGCAGGGTTCGAGGTTACAGGGCGCAAGGCTCGAGGCTTACGCTTTACGGGCTGTGGTTTAAAGGCTCAGGATCCAAGCCTGAACAGCCTGGCTGCTAAGACTGCAGGCGACGGATTTCTGGTGATAATGGATAATCTTGATCCCACGGTCATCCCTGCTGAGTACTGAGACGCCATTGTTGTTCATGGTGCTGCTCTTACTTTTTCTAGAACAGTTGTTATGACGAATCTTGGGCGTTATGCTTCTCACTTCAGGGTTAGTAGGGAATAAAGGAATATCAAATATAGGGACCGGGACTATGTAGGGATGATATCCCCTTATTCCCTACAAAAGCCCCAGTATAGGGAGTGCCAATGTCGGATCTTGCCACCATGACGACACGACTTTGGACTTCCTCATTAGGGGTTTCTCAAAATTAGGGGTACCATTTTGGGGGGGTCCCGGTAACAAGGATTATAGCATTTTGGTGTCTATCTTAGGGTCCCCCCCTTTTTGGGAAAAAGGCCATTAAGGTATCCCTGCATAGTCCGTAGGGCGAACTTACACTCCCTACGGATTGCCCGGGCCCCCTTTACGGTTTAGGGTCTAGGATGTTCCAGGCAGCTGGGGGTTAGTAGGGAATAAGGGAATGTAATCTCTATGTAACCCCTATAAGTAATATACTATCCTTGCTCCCTAGGAACCCCTAGTAACAGTAAGACTGCCTTAAAATCCTAAGCATGAGTCCTCAATATTCTTGGAAAATCAACTAGTTTCAAAGAAGGTTCACGGGCCTCGGCAAGTTGTTCGTCGTCCCAGTCGTAAAGGATGGGGACCACGCGTCCTCCAGCAGCCTCTACATATTTCACCTTGGTATGATCTTCCCATGGGTTTTGCTGAGGTAAAGGTGGCATGAAAACCTGAGACCCTTGGTGCATTATACCAATCGGAATCGAATTCTAGTATAGTAGAGTCATTCAGGATGCTTAGCACCAAGCGCACACCAGCCCTCAACCCTAAACCGTCTCGCTAAGGCGTCATATTGGGGATGACTCAGAAGACCACTTCCTCAAGTTGTGCTTCCGGCGATGTGCCCCCCTGAATTTTCGGATCCTTGCTATATTGCTACCACACACATGCATGTGGAACTCAAACGATATCAAATCTATGCACACAAAGCCTAACAAGTAGAATGCGCACCCAGATACAAGGACGCATACAGTGCTTGCTGTTGGCAGAGTCGGCTAAATCAGCAATGCAAGAAGCAGCAGCTTTGGGACAACCACCATTAGGGGGTGGGATCGGGGGCAACATCATAATTTGCGCGGGGCTCCCGTGAAAACAGTCCCCGATTATTCTCAAGGAAACCACTATACTCCAAACATTCATGATGGTACGCGGTTCAAGCTGAGGTAAGCCTTGGTTTTTAAAACATCTGCCGAGCATCGTAGAGTGAGGCAAAACAGCTGCGCCCTCCATTCGCATCGTCTCTCACGTATGGTACCTTCAGGGGCGCTAGGTCTTAGGATGTCTTAGGGTATATGGGTTGTAGGTGTTTCCAATCATTGGGTATGCTTCTTGGGCGTCTGCGTGCGAAGGCATACAGCATCACGGGAAAAAAAAGCTATACCGTTTTTTGCAGATACATCCCAAACCCTAAACCCTATATAACCCATTATAGTAGTTTGCATTTTTCTTTGCCATTATGCAGGAAACCTTAATATCTCATGGGGATTGGAGGTTCCCTTTAAGGATTCCATAGGGATGTTTTGAGCAGCTCACATAGTTGAATCCTCGCGCGGTTTCGCAACCATGTGCAGCCGGTACGGTCAGGACTCCTGCGGCAGAGGGTTGCATCCACATACTCAAATTTGTTTTGGGTCTTTCTCAGGGTAGGGACTTACACGCCCGCACCTTACATCCGTAAAAGACTGTCGCCAGCACTACACACAGAGAACCCAACAGGGGACCAACATGTTGATGAAGGAATGTGCTTGAGGACCGCGCCTACGATAGGGGCTTTGGCAGCGTGGCTGCCAAGAAGAAGCATGCATGCGCCAAGCGCTCGATAGCCCAGCATGGCCAGAAACATTGCAGCGAAGCTATCTGTGCCAGCTGATTGCTCTGATGCAACACTTAAGGATACTTAAGGTGTATCCTCCCGGTACGATGGGAATAAACTACCCAGGGCAGCGAATCCTGAGTTGTTGGCAGCAATGTATCTTCAATGACATGCGACGTGTAGGGTTGGCTTGAAGCCAGGGGGTTCGCAAAATAGGGTACCCGAGGAACCCCTAGAAATATGTCTTTCCGAAGTTATCGGGCTCCCCATGAAGGAGTCCAGCAACTCCCACATCATTACGGTTCGCTCGCTGAGCTGCGATGCAATGCACATACGTAGCAGGCACCAAATGCCCCAAGAAAGTCAGGGGATTTGGAACAAAATGTGCAAATGCTCCAGCGAACTAAACAATACTCCCGGGATCCAAGTAGCCCAATGTAGGTAACGTTTACAAATATTAGGGCCCAATGTAGGTATTATTTGTATACATGGAGCTGTAGAGCTAAACCAAAGGGGACCGTCTTTGAGATCCCAAGGTCGTCTTTTCTTCCTACCTTGTTCAGTTTCGCAGAAAAACTTGCTAAACCCTAAACCTGAAACCCCAGACTCTAAATCCCTAAGCCCTAAGCCCTAGACCCTAAATCCCCTCTAATGCTGCCTTCACATTAGTGACTACACCCACATTCATAAATCTCGCCCCCGGAACCCAATTGCAACTAGACACACACCTATTAAACAATCCCGGAACACATTATTGTTTTAGGGATATTGGTTTCTAAATATTTGAATCGGTTCTGAAAGGATTCTGAATCGAAATTCAAACAAACAGTTTTGGGATCAATGCTCAGGGCCCTTCCCAAAATGATGATAGATCAATCAGAGGTTATTCGTGCGAAGCCAGCATTACACCCTAAATCGCAACTACACCCTCCGTCTCAAAACACATAAACTATAAGAGCTACAGTCAAAAACTTGTTGATAACCCCTATGCTAGTCCCTTATATAATCCCCTAGATAAACACCCTTTCGGAAGTTCAGACTATGGCTCCTATAAGGGTTTCTGCTCCTTTCTCTCTTGGGAGCCCTGAGGCCACGGCCTTTCACCACACCGAGGCCAGGTTTCGCCTTAGGGGTTTAGGGTATAAGGCTTATAATCCCCCTTAAGTGGATAGAATATGGGGTATATGGGGATCTTATTATAATATACCCCAAGCCATATTCTATCTACCTTAGGGGGATTATAGGGTTTAGGGCTTAAGGTTTAGGGTTCAGGGTTTAGGGTTTATGGTTCAAGTACCATCATACCATTCAAGGGCTCTAGCGATGCGGGGCTGGAAGGGTTTAGAGCTTCAGGGACTCTAGGGATTTTGGGGCTAGAGGGTTTTTTTTGGGGTTTAGGGTTTCAGGGGTGGGTAGGGCTTCAGGCTTAGGCCGAGCAAAAAACTTGAAACATCAGTACCCCCCCTTGCCCCTAGACCTGAAAAAATGAAAGCCCGCATGAATCCACTTAGTTCCACGCCCAAGCTTGTTTGTTCACCTTTTCTCTAGGGTTGGGGCCCCAAAGTACAAAGTAGCGGGGATTATGGCCCAGTTTAATTTCTCTGTTAGGGTTTGGGTGGACCCCTTAGACACCAACAAGGGCGATGAGTCCCCCCGTATATTTGTTCTAACGATATATATATATACATATGGATAGATAGATAGATAGATCGATAGATAGATGTAGATATCTCACATATGAATAGCCCAAGCTTTTGAGAAATCTCCTCTCATACTTTTGTTCGCAAAGCCTGGTTGCCTCACTAAGCCCACGGCACTCCGGCTGTTGTCCTGGCGCTGAGTGACAGTTTGAGAACTCTTTTGGGGCTGCCGGTTCTCCCTCAAACCCTTAGATCTCACAAGTAAGCAGAAGAAGCACTACATCTTGGGTCAATCGCCCACCCATTCATGGATACGACGAAGGACTATTGTAGGCATATTACGGCCCCATTAACTTCATATTTCGGGGGCGCCATTCATAGATCCCGAGGTGCCGATTCAGGGTTTAGGGGTTTAGGACTTTGTAGAATGCTTGCAGCACGCAAGACTAGCAGTGGCCCTACCATGGACACCTAGACCTTTGGCTCACCTCCTAACCCCAGAACCCCACATTCCCAACCCTGAAGGCCCTAAATCTTACAGCCTGAT